TGTGACAGGATCTCACACATAGAAGTTTTATAAAATTTGAGCTCATAGATATATCCAGTAGAATGGTAATTACCAGGGGTTGGGAGTTAGGAGGTATTAATCAAAGAATTCAAATATTTGGAAGATTTTAAAAAGGGAACTGCTATTACATGATTCTGTTGAACCAACATAGCAGAACTCAAACTTTCAATAAGTCATCTTAACTTAGAATTCATTTATTCAAAACCACTTTTAAATAACATGACAATGACATTATAGATTTAAGGGAACAGAAGATTTGTTCCTAAATTTCCCTTGCCACAATTACAATGTACTAATAAAGAATTTAAATTGAACATTATTTAGACTCTTTTACCAAAAGAAAGATATATAAAAGTAACACCTAAAGTTTCTAAACAAGGATACACTCTGTATCTGTCTCTTTGAACTAAATAGAATATCAGCCGTACTCTTATGGCAGGTAATTATTTTTGAGCCAAGCTATAATCAGTCAAAATATCTATTTCAACACATAGTGACTACAGTTAATAACAATGTACTGAATTCTTGAAAATTGTTGAGAAATTTTTAGTGTTCTTATCACAAAAAAAAATATATTTAATATAACTCATATGTTAAACATTTTATTGAACTATTCCTCAATGTATACATATTTCAAAACATCATAAGTATATAAATTTTCTATTTTCAGTCTTAAAAAATTCTTTAAAGAAGTGTACAAACTAACCTCTCTACATACACACAAAAGCTATTTTTTTTTTTATTTTCTCAGTAGAGTTAATGATGTGTTCCAAATTTGAATTTTTTAAATATATATTTTCTCTTTATTTTAAAGGTCCAGAATGCTTCACAACAAAGATTAAGCCCCTTGTCTATGAAATAATTTGACTCATTCAAGTGGAATAAATTTCTTCATCTATTGTATCCTGGGAACAACTTGTTCATATAACTTTAACTGCAATACTCACATGCAAATACCATTTTCTTCATATTGAATGTTAAAATCTAAAATTAGAGGTTGGGTCCTATTTGCTATTTGTTTGGGTGGTAAAAAATACGGTCAAGTATTCTGTGTAAGTTAATATGTAAGGACATCAGCATGTGAATGGACGGGTGTATATAAAAGAATCCAAATCACAGCTGAACACAGCCAGTGGCTTTCATCATGTCATTGTCAAATAACACCAGTTTCCATCCTGGTATCTTCCTTCTCCTTGGCATTCCAGGAATGGAATCAGTCCATACCTGGTTGTCAGTGCCCTTCTGCTTTGTTTACCTGAGTGCTCTCCTGGGCAATTTCTCTATTCTCTTTATTATCAAAACAGATTCCAACCTGCATGAGCCCATGTACCTCTTCCTGTGTATGCTCTCTGTGGCTGACCTGGTCATCTGCACCACAGCTATGCCTAAAATCCTCAGTATTTTTTGGTTCCATGACAGGGAGATCTATTTTGAAGCCTGCCTTGTACAAGTATTTCTCATTCATTCACACTGTAGTATGGCCTCAGGGTTTATCTTGGCCATGGCCTTTGACCGCTATGTGGCCATCTGCTATCCTCTGAAACATTCCACTATCCTGACACACAGAGTCATCAGGAACTTGGGGCTGGCTATTGTTATTCGAGGGGTTTTACTTTTCAGTCCTCAGCCATTCATGCTTCGGTGGCTTCCCTACTGCAGAACCAATATCATCCCTCACACTTACTGTGAATTCATGGCTCTGATCAAGCTTGCTTGTGCCGATACCAGGGTCTGCAGAATATACAGCCTGACTGCTGCCTTTCTCACAGGGGGCTTAGACTTCATATTAATCATATGCTCCTATGTTGTGATCCTTTACACAGTCTTCCATCTTCCATCCAAGGCGGCTCGGCTCAAGACCCTGAGCACCTGTGGATCCCATGTGTGTGTCATCCTAGTAGCCTACACTCCAGCCTTCTTCTCCTTCCTCACACACAGGTTTGGGCACAATGTGGCTCCCCATATTCACATTTTGGTGGCCAATATCTACCTCCTTGTTCCACCCATGGTGAACCCAGTGATCTATGGCATAAGAACCAAAAGAATCAGAGAATGTGTCCTTCAGATTTTGACATCTCACAAAATCTAAAAGGCCAACTCATCCTTTCACAAGTTTCCATGACTTAGGAAAACACAAAGATGTCACAACTACAACAACATCAGCCCTTTTTCTAGAAGTCTAATACCTACATCTTCTACTTGTAATGTTTGAAGTATTTATTGTCATTTTTTATATTTTGTTCTCAATAAATTTTCTGGGAAGATATCTGACATAGGAGATTTATTTGTGATATATTTGTCTCATAGTATTCTCACTATTTTATGAGTTTGTTTGTTGCTATGTTTGCTTCCTCAAGACTCTGCTATTGTTCAATTTTATCAGCTTTATCAAGAGATGTTGTCCTTAACTTTTTTTCTAACATCTCTGAGAAGACTTCTATTTTTAGCTGTCAGTTAACAGTTTTGTCTACTTATTCTGTTGGAAAAGACTGAAACTTAATTTTATCCTTGAAATTGGGATGGTGCTAGTAAAATAAATACCTTCTGAACAAGGGGGTGAAGAAACTCTTACCATATCCTTTGCAGAGGCCTTCTTGAGTTTTTTAATGATGTGTTTTCTCTACCTAGGGTGAATTTTTTTAAATTTCTAAATAATATTTATTCTCAAAAATACTTCTGCAAAACACTTAAGAACATCCAAAATTGATGAATCATATTTTTTCTTCTTTTGTTTGTTCAACATGTTCTAGTTGATTCTCAGAGAATACCTGTAGCCTGTTCTCCCATCCCATGATGAGACTGATTACACCTATTTCCTCCTACTCTGTATTACAAAATTGTAAATCATGATTCTAGGTGTTCTTTACTGATACTGCTCATTCTTCTTTCTTTTGTGAAGTCTAATAACTGGAATTTGTATGGAGAATCTTGTAGGATAAGTCTTCGTGAGTAGGTGGTATGAAGATTACAGTTGCTTTACCATCTATCATATCCCTGTTGTTGACCAAAACAGCTTTGTATATAAGTCAGTAGTACATTTTGCCATGTTTTTCTATGAGTAGAATGCTCCTCTCAAACTGTGGTTTGAGAGAGGATCATGTGGTTACACAGTATCATGCCGCTTGTGCCCTTGAATTTTTAATTTCTTCTTCCTGAACAAGGTAAGACCTATGAAGGACTGCAGGTATGGAGTATCACAGAGATCTTTTCAGCTGATCCTCAGAAAATAACACACCCTTTTCCTTGCAAGGAAAGTGTTTACCTGATGTTCAGGTTTCTGGTTGTATAAACTTATTTTATCATACTGTATTTGACATTGTCTTGGTTACAATGGAATATAATTGTATACCTAAAATTTTAAGAGTGTCAGTAAAAATTAGAGTTTAAGACTCATGCCTTTCAGGCCACAGTGCTCAGTTGTGAGTTGTGAAACAAACTCTCACTGGCTGTCTTAATTTTTATCAAGATACATCTTGATAAAAGATCCATATCTCAGTTTCCTGAATCACAAATAGAAATATTAATATTTTGAAAATCACTGCTGACAGCTAATGTTTTCATTTCTAATTTTTGCTAACCAATATTACTATGCTCTAAAATGAAAGCAAAAGACAATATATCCTCAGAATACTTTGCATCATGTGTCAATCTGTAGAATTAAAGGCAACAGAAATACTTTTGAAATCCTACAAGTGATTTGGTTCTATTTGCAGTTAATTTATCATGATCTTGATAAAATCTGAAATTTAGAAGAAATTATGGAGCAGTAATATTTAAATTACAAACTTCGGGCTTAAACTAAAAATAATTTGATCATTTAAGGGGCTGATTTTCATAAATTCTGATGGCAAATGATGAAGGACTTCTAGTGAACGTAGAGAAGACAAAGATTCAAAAAAAGGAAAATCAATTCAGTTAGAAAAGCTGGATGAATGGCTTCCCAGAATCATCTTCTAGCTCTGTTTATACAGAGTGTGTGCAGGTGAATATAAGGGCAAAGGCTAGCCTGTGCCTCATGATCCCACTTAAATGGTAAATTTCCCCATGTGTGAATTTTAGTGAATATTGAGAAAGTATTTTCACTTACTTCTACATTCATGACAACACATGTTCTGGAGTAGTCAGTAACAAGGTTAAAAATCACGTAATAGTCCAGGCAATTTCTTACCTGAAAAAGACTCATTCAGGAAATGCATGCTAAACTCCTACAATGACCACTCATGACAAGGGTCACGTAAAATACATGGAACCATGCTTCATAAAATGTATGTTTGATGGGAAGACAGCAACTAGGAATCTGCATAAAATAAATTAACCTAAATATTGACCAAATAATTTCATGTTCAAAAAATATGGTATAATCTTTCAGAGGTGATATAGTGTGAGAGAATAGGGAATAGTGGCTGGAACACAATGATCATATTATTTCTGACATAGATTGACATGTATTAGAAAGGTTTTATTTTGTTTTGTTTTAAGCTAGAGAGAGAAAAATACATGTGGAATAAAGAATAAGTACAAATTTAAGCTTGGGTCGGGCACAGTGGAGCATGCTTTTAATCCCAGCAGCTCGGGAGGTTGATACAGGAAGATCATGAGTTCAAAGCCAGCCTCAGCAACTTAGCGAGGCACTAAGCAACTCATTGAGACCTTGTTTCTAAATAAAATACAAAATAGGACTGGGGATGTGGCTCAGTGTTTAAGTGCCCTGAGTTAAATTCCCAGTTAAAAAAAAAAAAATGGGCCACCGCCACCGCCTCCACCGCCGCCACTACTACGGCTGCCACCGCTGTTGCCTGGGAGTTCGCTGAAGCCCTTTCCTCAGATCCGGCCGGTTCTGCCCGCCTGGACTCGGGGCCCCACCGACCGGCGCATCGCTCTGACGGGTGCAGAAGCGGGAGTTGCCTCGGTCTGTGGAGCCGCGGGGCGGCCCCAGCCCCTCTTCCCCTCCCTGACCCCTTCTTGCCATCGCCCCAAACATGGGGAACGCGGCGACCGCCAAGAAAGGCAGCGAGGTGGAAAGCGTGAAGGAATTTCTAGCCAAAGCCAAAGAAGACTTTCTGAAAAAATGGGAGAATCCACCCCCGAATAATGCTGGACTCGAGGATTTTGAAAGGAAAAAAACCCTTGGAACAGGTTCATTTGGAAGAGTCATGCTGGTGAAACATAAAGCCACTGAACAGTATTATGCCATGAAGATCTTAGATAAGCAGAAGGTTGTTAAACTGAAGCAAATCGAGCATACTTTGAATGAGAAAAGAATATTACAGGCAGTGAATTTTCCTTTTCTTGTTCGACTGGAGTATTCTTTCAAGGATAATTCTAATTTATACATGGTTATGGAATATGTCCCTGGGGGTGAAATGTTTTCACATCTAAGAAGAATTGGAAGGTTCAGTGAGCCCCATGCGCGGTTCTGTGCAGCTCAGATAGTGCTAACATTTGAGTACCTCCATTCATTAGACCTCATCTACAGAGATCTAAAACCTGAAAATCTCTTAATTGACCATCAAGGTTATATCCAGGTCACAGACTTTGGGTTTGCCAAAAGAGTTAAAGGCAGAACTTGGACATTATGTGGTACTCCAGAGTATTTGTCTCCAGAAATAATCCTCAGCAAGGGATACAATAAGGCAGTGGATTGGTGGGCATTGGGAGTGCTAATCTATGAAATGGCTGCTGGCTATCCACCATTCTTCGAAGATCAACCAATTCAGATTTATGAAAAGATTGTTTCTGGGAAAGTTCGATTCCCATCCCACTTCAGTTCTGATCTCAAGGACCTTCTAAGGAACCTGCTCCAGGTGGATCTGACAAAGCGATTTGGAAATTTAAAAAAAACGGTGTGAGTGATATAAAAACTCACAAGTGGTTTGCCACAACAGATTGGATTGCTATTTACCAGAGGAAGGTTGAAGCTCCATTCATACCAAAGTTTAGAGGCTCTGGAGATACCAGCAACTTTGACGACTATGAAGAAGAAGATATCCGTGTCTCTATAACAGAAAAATGTGCAAAGGAATTTAGTGAATTTTAGAGAGGAACAAGAAACCGCCAGAGCTTACACTCAATCTTTGCGCTCTGTTGAGATATAAGGTGGAGCTGAGACCATCCTTGTTGAAGCAGTTACCTATTCCTTCATTCCAGCGACTGAGTGAGGTCTTTATTGCCATCGCCCCTGTGTGCTCTCTGCATCCACCTCTGTAATAAGGCACCGCTAAGCAAGCATTGTCTGTGCCATGACACAGTAGAGACCACTTCCCTACTCTTTGGGTTGTCTTTCTCCCCCTCCTACATCCATTTCTTCCTGTTCCTTAGTTTTTCTGTAAACAGTGCTCCATCTTATTTTGGTGGTATCTTATATGGGCAGTGTTATGGTCATGTGATATTTGGAAGAAACGATAAGTGTTGCTTTTAGTGGATTTTGCCAATATTTTATTGGTCAGTGGCTTCAAGACGAACTTTTTAATAATTATTTTTACTTTTAGTAACTTAGGCTCAGTTTTGCCAAAACTCCTAACTTTTGAGGATTGAATGCGTTATCACCAAAGGAAATTACACAAATTGAGACAAAAAATTCTTGGAATTCAAAAATGAATTTAGATTAGCTTGACATAGCAATTTAGATTCCTGGATTCCTATAGAACTTCCTATAACCCGAGGTTCTTTTTCCCTTCACTTTCTCTCCTTAAGAAATTAAATAACAGTCTGTATAGCATGACAGATGTGTCTCATTCCACAAGAAAAAAATAAAAGAGATGGATCATGGCCCAGACTTTCTTACTTGGTACCAACATTTCTGTAGGTATTAGAGAAGAGTTCTAAGGTTTCTAAACCTTAACTTTCCCATAAGGGTTAAAGCCAGTATTTTAACAGAATGTGATTAATACAGGTGGCAAATTTAAATTTTCAGTCTTCACTATAAACCAAAGTATTGGTTTGGATGATGCTAAGTCAAACAAATGGCTTAATTCTTGAAAACAATATATATTCCTATTTAAGTGAGTTTTTTTCTTTGTTTTGCTTTATATTAAGAACAAAAGAAATTGTTATCTGCTTATTGTTCTGGTGTACTGTATTTTTAAGCCTAAGGTAGGGGCACTGTTGCAACTTCTGCTTTCATCCCATGCCTCAGCAATGAGGAAAGGGGACAAAATTCATAAAATTGCCACATTTGTATTTTAATTTTGGGGTGTGATATTTTTAGATGTTGTAATTTCTAACCTTTTCTCTTGGTAAAGAGATTATATGACCAGATACAATTTAAGTATTTGAGTTTAGTTATTTTTTATACTTTTTTGCCAACTGACTTAATGTTGCTGTCATATGGAAATTTCAAGCACTTTTGCACATTTAGTTCAGTGTTTGTTGAGAATCCATGGCTTAACTCAATTTTTTTTTACTATATTTCTTCTTTCCTTTTAATTTTCCCTATCTGGTTTTTATCTCTGTGTCTCAGTGACCTATCTTAAAACAACACACCAAAATAGCTTAAACTGTGTTCATTTTTTTAATGATCAATTTATGTGCATAAAGATGAACTGTTTATAGTGCAACTGATCTTCTTGTATATTACTGTTCTATTTGCTTCCTTATTGGTGCAAGTAGGTCACTGACACCACATCTCATCTATACTGCCCCTTATAAAACCTTTGAAGACAGTGAATAATACTGTCTGAAATGTTCTGTCCACCAATCTGTATGTCCTTTCAGTGTCAAGTGTTTCTGCATGGTAATGTCACATAAGGCTGATGCTGATTTCAGTTGGTTCACCTATATTTAAATGTGCAAGTAAAATTTGAAACACTTTGCCATAGCAAGTTTTATGTAACAAAGATATATCATCATGTTAATAGATTTAAAACATCATTTGTATAAAATATTTTAATTAATTTTTTTTGTATTTCATTTAGAACCAAGAACATGCTGATCATTGCATTCTATATATATGCTACAAATTCTATGGTAGCTTTATTGTATATTATTGTAAAATTATTTCAATAAATCATGGGGATGATGCTTTGATTATTACAATTTAGTTTTCAGTAATCGAAAAATTTCTATAAATTCAAAAAATATTTTTTCTATGAAATTACTAGTGTCCAACTATAGAATCTACCCAAGTAGACGACCCCTAGGTGTACATTGGTTTCTGAGGGCTATTCTGCCATTCCATTTTACTATTTGAAAAATATGAGCAAACTGTCAAATGTCATGGGAGTCTATTTCTGACCAATCAAGTACACTAAATTAAAATATTTTTAAAGTATATGAAGTTCTCAGTTTCAGCCACAGTATAGCCAAGAACAAGATTAAAAACTTGAATTTGAAAAAGTGGCAAAAAATAGTAATAATCTCAAATTACATTATGTGAAACAGTTATATTTTTGCCCAGTAAATAATTGAGATAGCATTGTATGGGAAGGAGTCCTATACTGAAGGTCAAGACATCTGAGTTTAAGGCCAGAAAACTATCAGAATGACCCTGGCTTCCATTTTCCTACCTGTAGAATAGAAGGATTAGATTAGGCACTTTCTGAGGTCCCTTCTAACTTTCCTGTGTTATGACAAGATTTTCCCTCTTCTCTTCTCTTCTCTTCTCTTCTCTTCTCTTCTCTTCTCTTCTCTCTCTCCTCTCTCTATCTCTTGTTTTGTGATATTTTGAAGGGATATCATGCTTTCAAATAAGTCTCAGTCATGTGATGTACTTTTGGGCAACTTTCTTCTTATCTCTGACAGTGTTCTTACAATTACTTGAATATTATGAGAACCTTGTGTATGTCCTGATTCCTTACTCATTCACTGATGCTAAATACACAGTTGCTATCAAACTGTCAACCTACCAAAAAAAAAAAAAAAAAAAAATACTGTGGCTTTTGGGTATCGCTGTCTTGTTCTTGGTATGTTCTTGTACTGCCTGCCCACTGGCCTAGAAATATTCATTTTAGGCCTGGAAAAAAAATCATTTTTCTTTCCCACTAATTGTTTTTTTCTGCTTGTGTAAGAATCAAATGAAATAATGTGTGTGAAAGCACCTTGTAAACTGTAAGCTATCAATGTAAAATGTAAAAGTGTATTGTTACTTCATTAATTCTTCTTTGTTTAGAATGGAATTTCCTGTCACTACCATAGCTAGGAAATGCTGAAAACAACCGTGTTTTTTAATTAATCAATAACTGCAAAACTAAAGTATCTTCAAAGGAAAAAAAAATAAAAAATAAAAAAATGGACTTGGAAGTCAAGAAAACTCAAGTTTCTAAGGACAGATAATAAATCATTAGGTTCTGAAGAAAATGATTAAGGAAAGAGAGGTATATTGCAAATCAAAACAAGTCATAATCAAAACTTAAATCATAAGTCATAATTATTAAGAACACAAAATTGTATGACTACCTTTAAGGACACTGATACATTAAAAAATATGAAAATGAGACCATTACTAATCATTACTTTAAGATAAACCTGGACTGATTGGGACATTTTGAAAGAATATAATTAACTCTCATTAACAATGCTTGATGAGCAAAGAAAATTAGGAGTAGTAGAGCTCCAGAGAAGATGAAAGTCTTCACCCTAGAACATGTTCTAGGTCAAATTCAGGTCATGCTTGAGAAAGAGTAGGACACCAAGATTTAGAATAGTCACATCCGGGATGAAAAATCTAATTTTTTAAAAAAAAATCTCAGATTAAAAGATGTATCAAAACAAAACAAAACCAGCAATGATGATGGGATACTTAATTAATAATTAGATATGGAAATTTTATTGATATGGAAGCAAACCTCCATGACATAAGACTAAATGTCTTTGCAAGAAACTTGGGAGATGGTGCTAATATGTCAGAAATTTGGAAAAATGATGTTACACAATGAGTAAGATAAAAATTATAGTAATGTCATGACACATTATACAGAAAGGTACCAGAGTGCTGGACATAATTGATTATAAGATGCCAAAAACCACCAGTAAAATATGGTCCATGGAAATCACTAGAGGACCTTCCACTAAGTGAACATGAAGGAATGTAAGGGAGAAGGTACCATAATCATTGAGGATGCAATGGTGGCTAGCCTTTTTTGTTTAGTATAAAGGTAGAAAGCACTATTATAAAAACAGGGTACAAGTATGTGAACGAGACTATACAATTTTTAAAAAAAATAAACGCAGGTCAAGTGGCAGCATTTAATCATCTGAAAGAAGATGGTAATTCTTTTTGTGTAAATTGTCAAGGCCAGAGTAGTGGCTAACTGGCTTCATGTAGAGAGGGACAGGGATAGCTATTAAAATGTGCTATTCCTAGAGGTCAGCTGGTTATCAACCAACAAAGATATTTTTCACTCTGTATTTCTAAATAAAAACCAAGGATATGACACAGAAATTTGATGTCTGAATAAAATGGTCAAATATGTTGCTTAGTTTTCAACCTGAGGCAGTTTCCAGATCCAAAATCCAATGACTAAAGAAAAATTCATGTTCCTAAGAGCCAGAATACCAAAACCAAATTCCAAGTATATGTGAGACTATATCTTCCAGTTCTTTTATGAAGGAAACATATAAAGATATGAAGGAAGGCTAATGTGAAGGCTAATGAGTGACTACCCTAAGACTTATGTTAAAATTAAATAGCATTTTTAACAGTACTAACAGGTACTTAGGCAATAGGGGACCACCTTCAGAAATGGGTAATACTGTGATCATGGGAATCACCTGCTCATGAAAGGATGCAGTCAGATGGATTTTAATCTAATTCTTGTTTGTATCCTTCCTCACTATATGATATTCTAATACATGTTGTGACATAACTAGAAGGACCTTACCAGATGCTGGCACTGTGCTTTGGACTTCCAGACTCTAGAATAGTTTTAAAAAATCAGTTCTTTATAGATTAGATAGTCTGAGGAATTCTATTATAGCAGCAGAAAATGGACTAAGGTACTCAGGGAAATGAATAAAGGAATAAGTATACATGATAAAACATATTCTAAACTGACACTAAGCTAAAAACTCATAGAATGATCATTACCTCCATACTGTAATGAGAGCATATGGAACAAGGTAATCTTGGAGGTCTTTCTCAGCTTTGTTTCACAATGAATCAACAAATCCAACAGTAATTTACCTATTCCCCAGAAAATAAAATTTAAATGAACATACAAAGTAGTTGGATGAAATTACATTATATGGGTTTTCAAAAGGCCATATCCTTTGTCACCTGCGGACAGATTTAACTGCACTGTGTTTAAGCATTAGAGTAGTAAAATTGGGGAAAGTGAGTATAAACAACTATTTCATAGGTTTTCCTGTAAAATGCTATAAGATAAATTGGTCAATATCTAATAGGTACATGGTTCATGAGAATTTCTATAGATATATCTCACTATATTTTTTTAAGGTAGCTTGTTCATATATTGATAGGAGTGCTAATATTGAAAGGTAGTAATGATTACAGATTAGACAGAATGGAGAAACACCAGAGCATATCAGTTGAGATGCAACAAAGATAGGATACATTACACAATGTTAGAAAATGGAGATGTTGGTTTTTGTGAGGAGTAACATTCCATTCACATTGTTACTGGAGTCCTTGCTGAAGGGCCTGTCTCCATGGGTCCTAAGAGACCAGACCCACCCAACTGCCTCAATATACCAAATAAGAGATGAGGGTGGTAAAAGCAGGAAATGAATTTATTCTGTGTGGTAGACATACTAGGAAGAGTAAGCTATAGTGAACTAAGACCTGTCTTCAAGGGGAGGTAATAGCTCAAGCATGATAGAAGGGAAGGACAAAGCAGAGGCAAGAAGTCTGAATAGCCACTCCATCTTGGTCTACCTGTGGTCTGGTTGATCATTATCTCAGATCAGTTTTGCAGGGTCTTTCTGGCTTCAGAGGAGATGATTGCTTGAAAGTTGCCCTGTTCCTGGAAACGGGAACATTGAGATATGCTAAAGAGGATAATTGGTGTAGGGCAGAGTAGCAAAATGGAACTAAGTTGTGCCATTGACTGCATCCTTTTAGGCACAACTCCAGTGGTATAGTATGAAATGGTGCATAATACTAGCTGAATTCTTGAGATATCTTAGTTACATTTATCGTGATATCTTCAGCCTTCAAATGGAAGAAGATATTAAGCAAATATAGGTCCTATCAATCTTTTATTACTAGTTTTTAGAAAAACACTCTTTGAATGATTAACATGTTAACCTACAGAGTTAAGAAGGGATCTGATCCAAAGATTAATGTAGCCAAAGGGGGCAGATGCAATATGAAGGCCAAAATGCTAATCTGTTGTACCATATTTAGCCAGCCATCAGACATATGCGGGCCAATGTGAAGAGTCAGTGCCTTTACAAAAGCAGCCTCCAGCTCATTGTTACAATACAAGCAGGAAATCATTGAAGATGTACAAATTCAGAGAGAGGTGCATGAGTGGAGGTGTAGATGGGATATTCTTTTGCAGCTCTTTTTTTTTTTTTCCCCTGTTGCTGTGAAATTGGTAGCTCAGTGGGTCTTGAGATGAAAACAGAATTGAGAAGATATCTGGATCCAGAGAAAATGTGAAATAATTTTGAGGAGACAGAATAAACATAGGGACTCCAGAATTACATTCCATGTTAGGGGACAATTGGTATGGTGATGGTGAATCAGGCTTCATTGTAGGAGATACTCCTCCCATCCCAGTTCAGTAGTGCAGATACAGCCATGGAGTGTCTGGTATACAAATATGCCCATGATGTCCCCTATGTTTCTATTTCATCACAACAGATGGAAATACATTAGATTAAATATTTACCTTATTAAGTTGATGTTTTAAACATACATTGGCTTAAAAACATCAATAATCATATGCCGGGAGCCATTTATGAGCCATGGGTAAACTGAATGATGTTTTAGCCATTAAGGCAGAAAAGCCTGGTATCAGGAACGCCCAGTAGGAACCCACTGGTTTGAGAATGCCTGGTTCATGTGGGGCCCAGCCTAACTCACTGCTCAAATTCTAGCAAATTCTAGCATATTTATGGTGATGGGTGTGGCTTGTCAAAATGCCAATCAACCTGTTTACTGCAAGACTCTTGCCACACCCAAAAGCAAGCCTAAGCAAGATTCAGTATGTAGCCATTGTTCTATTAAGTTGCTCTGATGTGAACCTCTAATAGACCATCTGTTTTATTATCACAGATGACAAAAAGGTATAGACAAGAAAAGGTCACTGAACCAAGACTCCTCCCACTGAAACCTTATCCCTGCCTTTAATGTACTCCCCCTTAAATATAGAATTGGGGCCTTTTTTCATTT